TTGGCTTTTTAAAAAATACCATTATTCGTGTTCAACTCGTTTGCTTAGCGAGTCGAACACTAGCTGTTCGCGATTTAGCCATTTTGACAGCCCTTGTCACACAACCATACAAATGTTAAGGGTAGGCGTGAGATTTAAATATTATTATTTATATTAAAATATTCATTTAGTTAAAATTTAAATTTTTATTTAATCTTTTAATGAATAATTTTAATTGATTATAAATCTTTGTAGCCTTGTGAACAAATAAATCTTTGTTCATTTCAACTCATTTATAAATTGAGCACAAAAATTTTGTTTGTGTTCGGCTTGTTTTCTCACTGAATGAATCAAATTTGAGCTACTTAACGAGCCGAACCTGCTGTTCTCAAACAACTGACTTTTTTGACAGCCCTATTTCAAAACATTTTGCTTTTAGTAATAAATGATAAAAGTAAGCAAACAAAATTGTTTTGTCATTTTAGATACTTTTTAGAAAGAAAAAAAATGTAATCGAACATGATGTAAAACTTCATTAAATTAACCTTTTTGGTGCAACTATTACTCTTTGTTGTGGATGACTAAATAATTTAAAATACTCTATATTCAGCAAGTGTATTCTATAGATATTGATTTTATCTTTATTGATTGATTATTGTCATAGCTCTCTTAAACTCATTTTTATAATTGCATAATTTATATACTTTGTTGACGTACTAATTAGTATATTCTGTAATTTTATAGGTTAAATGTTGTGGCGGTTTAAATTTTGTTAAAATCAAGTCCATCTTTCAATAATTCTTTTCTTCATTTTAATGTTGGATCATTTCTTTCTTTGCTTGGAATTCTTGTTTTATTAAATTTTATTGCATTTGGTTTCTTTTTATTAAGAATTTAGTGGATAGGATAAATTATGGATTTCCTTCATCGGAATGTTTCATTGAGATTGGTTATATTTGGCATGAGTTTAAGATGCCTCATTTTTTGAAAAACATATTAGCCATGTTAGGCTTCTTTTTAGTAGTCAATTACCTTTTGAGCTTCATGTTGGCATTTTGTATCCAAGTTTGTGTTACCATTGTTTGAAAAATGCCTTTGAAATCTATGCCTTAGAATTTTTTTGTTTTTAGGCATTATTAAAAAACATTCAAAAGCTATTTTTTCCCCCTTTCAATATCAATGTATCAATCAATAGGGACATGCTTTTTTTAACATTTTGAAACACATTGTGGCCTAAGCTTCAAATTACATTAGCCATAGGATTTTTAAAATTATTTTAATGACTTAATAGAAAAGTCTAGGTTATGCTTGTAAAAATTAGTAGAATCTGCGATAGAATTATAGCTCTAAAGATTGCTTTTAATACTAAAATTTTTAATGTTATAATTGTTTATGCTCCTAAAGTTGGTTTATATATAGTTTTAAAAGAAAAATTGTGGAATAATCTTGAAGAATTAATACAATGGATACCACTTGAAGGAAGAATGTGTATTGGAAGAGATTTAAATGGACATGTTGGTAGAGTGGTTGAAGATTGTAGAAATATTCATGGAGGCTACGATTTTGGAGTGATTAATGAAGAAACTAGATTCATATTAGATTTTGCTTTAACGTTTGATTTTGTTATTATTAATATTTTATTTAAGAAAAGAAATGATCATATTATTACTTTTAAAAATAAATCTAATAAAATGCAAATTGTTTTTTTATAAGAAAAAGAGATCGTCGAGAATGCAGAGATTGTAAGGTCATCATAAGTGAAAATTTAAGTACTTAATATTGATTATTAATTCTAAATTTTAAGATGAAGGGTTGTAATATTAAAAATACAATGAAATATTGTCATACAATTAGATAATGGCCCCTAAAAATAAATTAAAATATTTGTATCTGTAAATTTTAAGATTCAAGATCTGAGGTGTTCATGAAGAAGTTAATTTTATGTGGGAAGATGTAACAAACAATATTAAATAAGTGACAAAAGATGTATTTGGAGATAAAAAAGAAATGTTTTATAAATAAAAATAGTTGGTTTTGAAATCTATGCCTTAGAACTTTTTTGTTTTTAGGCATTATTAAAAAACATTCAAAAGCTATTTTTTCCCCCTTTCAATATCAATGTATCAATCAATAGGGACATGCTTTTTTTAACATTTTGAAACACATTGTGGCCTAAGCTTCAAATTACATTAGCCATAGGATTTTTAAAATTATTTTAATGACTTAATAGAAAAGTCTAGGTTATGCTTGTAAAAATTAGTAGAATCTGCGATAGAATTATAGCTCTAAAGATTGCTTTTAATACTAAAATTTTTAATGTTATAATTGTTTATGCTCCTAAAGTTGGTTTATATATAGTTTTAAAAGAAAAAATTGTGGAATAATCTTGAAGAATTAATACAATGGATACCACTTGAAGGAAGAATGTGTATTGGAAGAGATTTAAATGGACATGTTGGTAGAGTGGTTGAAGATTTTAGAAATATTCATGGAGGCTACGATTTTGGAGTGATTAATGAAGAAACTAGATTCATATTAGATTTTGCTTTAACGTTTGATTTTGTTATTATTAATATTTTATTTAAGAAAAGAAATGATCATATTATTACTTTTAAAAATAAATCTAATAAAATGCAAATTGTTTTTTTATAAGAAAAAGAGATCGTCGAGAATGCAGAGATTGTAAGGTCATCATAAGTGAAAATTTAAGTACTTAATTTTGATTATTAATTCTAAATTTTAAGATGAAGGGTTGTAATATTAAAAATACAATGAAATATTGTCATACAATTAGATAATGGTCCCTAAAAATAAATTAAAATATTTGTATCTGTAAATTTTAAGATTCAAGATCTGAGGCATTCATGAAGAAGTTAATTCTATGTGGGAAGATGTAACAAATAATATTAAATAAGTGACAAAAGATGTATTTGGAGAATAAAAAAGAAATGTTTTATAAATAAAAATAGTTGGTGGTGGAATAATAATGTTCAAGAAAAGATAAAATATAAAAAGTTATGCTACATGTTATAAAATTTCGTATAAATTAAAAACGTAGAGAACTT